TTTGATGTTGTCAAACATCCATAACTGTGTAATGCAGATGCACCTGAAGATTGGTGTCTGTGTTTTCTGTGCTGTCAAGTTGGAACTGACTTATTGTGGCCGTAATAGAGCTTTGAAAGTAAATGAGGTATTTAAGGAGTGGTTGTACCAGTTCCTCAGTCCCCCAGTGAATTTCTATGGCCCAATGGAGATTTGAATTCTGCTCTGCAGAGTCCTAGTCTGTCACTCTATCCACTACACCACATGGGAAAGGCTGGTAACCAACTTCAAAACAGCCTATTCAAATACTGCTCTAGTTGTACTCAGACGTTATAGAAATGTTTGTATTCTAAGAAGAAAACAACTGTCTCAGTTGACTAGGACAGCGGTCCCCAACCTTTTCGGGACAGTGGACCAGCTGAGCCTCTGAGGAAGGCAAGGCACATACCCACACCCCCGCATTTGCGCAGATCCTCTCTCAAACAGACACATGCGCAAAGCGGTGGGGGCGCGTGCACCCACCAGCACCAGCGTGAGTGCCCCACCCCTTTGCTCATGCGCAGAAGCACCTGCACGCCCATGTATATGCGCCCATACCTTCGCTCGGGTGCATGCATGTAGGGGTGGGGGATTGCTCATGCCACCGCTGACGTGCACATATGTGCGCAAAGCAGCTGTGAGGAGGTGAGTGCATGCAGGGGGGCGGGAGGCCTGTCTCCGTGGCCCAGTCCAGCTCAGGCCACAGAACGACACCGGGTTGCGGGGGTTGACAACCTCTGGGCTAGGAGACTTCAAGTTATACCACAATCTGGAATGTACAAAAGCTATCACAGCACAAGGAGAACAAGTATATTGTTACAGCAGCAGATGGGAAGATATGATATCCAGACTTTACCTCATCTATTTAAAGCGAATATTCATCCCTGTGTGAAAAAAAAAAACACCTGGCTCTTGGGAACATAGGTGAAACTGATGCTTCTCTGTCTGCATCTATGTGTACATGCATGTGCATCAATATTTTATGTGGCATTTTGATGCATACGATAGAGTAGAATTTTAGAAGTCAATAGGTGAAGATGGGAGAAACGAGATTCTAAAAACTGTAAAACTATTGTAGAGAAGAAGAAACTCTGAGATAAGAAGTTGGAATATCAACATTGCTGTAATGATAACTATTGATTTATGAAATCTTGGAGACCGAGAACTTTGCACTGTATGCTTCTCCAAAGCTTTAGAAATGTTCTCAGTCCAAAAATAGAACACATTACAAAGAAAGCTGTGCATAGTACTAGAAGTCTCATGCCAAGCAAAAGTCATACCGGTGACCTCCGTTGTGCATTTTCTCCCTTTTTCGGTTATGTCATATGGATTTTTGTTTCAATTTATTTTAATTAATCATTATTTCATTATTAACATGTGAAAAGTGGGCAAAGAATATTTTCATTATTTTTTTAATCTGTTGCATTTCTAAAATGTTAGTACAGAAGACATAACAAAGAAATATCAGTTTGACATTAACCCTCCTTTCTGTAGCACCTCAAAATCATTCTAGGGAGGTGAATGATACATACTGTAGTCTTAACTCTGCACACCTATCTTGTATCCTGTAATTTTTTTCTGTTTACAACCTCATTTTTATATTAATGTAATAATCAAACTGGACACTAATTCCTGCTCATCCTTTTATACTATATTCCCAGCCTGTCTAATACTCTTAATGGTATTAATAGCACTGTACATGGATGGACCTTCCAATATAGTAGGATTCTACATGTTCCTAACATTTATGGAAGTCACGTGCTCACAGTGCAGAATAGCTCCAATTGATGCATCCTTATATACTTCATGTCATTAGATTTTGAAAACATGAAACACCGATTAGTACATTCTGATCATTTTCCTTTAAAGACAAAAGGGTAAATCCAGTGTATAATGCAACAAGTTCATTTTGAAATGTAACATTCCAAGGTGTGCTACATAGGTCCATTCCCCACTGGGCCTCCTTGAAAGGGGCTGGACTCAGTGATCCATAGGGTCCCTTCCAGCTCTATAGTTCTAAGATGGTGATGATGATGGCACTAAAATGCAACTCTATATGTTTCCCAGCCACAGTTTAGGGGTGAATGGCAGGTTGCAGTGGAGAGCATCACCCCCTCCTGTTTGATTCCACTGTTCTACCGTTGGACAATTTAACTTCGGATGCTTCCCTGAATCTGTCTAAATTCAGCTATAGCACTACATTTACCCTGCCCTTCCTAAATAACAGCTTGGGATGCCTAGCAGTTCTTGGATCATATCATAACATCTAAACTAAAATGGTTTTGAATACAGTAGGACCCTCATATCCGTAGAATCAGTATCTACAGTTTCACTTATCTGCAGTCTGAAAATATTTAAGAATATTAAAAGAAAAAAATCCAGAAAATCAAAAATCCAGATTCCATTCTATGAATACTTGTTTTTGAAGAATACACAGTATGGTCTCTGTCATCCTCTAATGGCCTCTGGTAATGCATGTGAAAATAATTTTTTTCTGGATTTTTTTCTTTCTTTTACAGCATTTCTTTTTCTTTCTATGTACAGTGGTGCCTCGCATTACGATGTTAATTCATTCCAGCGAAATCGCTGTAGAACGAAAACGTCATAATGCGAAAAGAAAAAACCCATTGAAGTGCATTAAAACCAGTTTAATGCCTTCCAAAGGGCTGTAAACTCACCGTCAGCGAAGATCCTCCATAAGGTGGCCATTTTCACTACCTATGCAGTGAGGAATCCATCCCAGAAAACAGCAGGGGGCCATTTTGTTTACCCGGTGGCCATTTCGAAACTGCTGATCAGCTGTTGGAAAATCGTCGTTTTGCGAAGAATCGGTTCCTGAAGCAAGGAACCAATAATCGCAAAAGTGAAATTCCCCCATAAGAAACATCGTTTTGCGATCGCTTCATCATAATGTGGTTTCGTTGTTAAACGGGGCAATCGTAAAGCAAGGCACCACTGTATAGCATTCACTATTATCTGTGGTTTTCACCATCTGCGTTGGGGGGCTTGGAACCAATCCCCCATGGATATGGGGGGGGGTCGTACAGTATGTCATTTAAGAACTGGATTTTTGTTTTTTCCTTCACTTCCACCTTTATTAAACCAGAATATGTTTTTGGTTGCAAAGTTTTATCATTTTCAGATTGAACTATTTTCCAGACTTTTAACTGCTGTCTGACATAATTTCATACCAAATAATTATTCAATAAGGAAATTTACTGAATGTAACTGAATTAAACTTACTTAAAATATTTGAATCACAGAAGTCTTTTGCCCAAACTTACCCAATCATTAAGGACATGACCAAATATGTGTAATTTTCCCTCTGTTGGCCCTTTTTGGTTTAGGTATCCTATGCTCACCAGTCCTTAGGTCTTACCGAAAAAATGTGGTGTCCGAATTAAATTTTGGACTGAACAATTCTTCACCTTGTGCAAAATGAAAACTATAGGTTTATCAAAACAATTGATGACAATATTGTTGTGCCATACCATAACATTTATATTCTTATAAATTTACTCAGGAAAAGAACAAAAAGGTGCTGAAAGACCAGAAATGACCATGTTTATGCTAGCATAACTCCATTGACATGACTTTCAGCTGTGAATTGACACAAGTTAAGAGGGACACAGGCATTGCATTTCCTATTGCAATGCTTGTGCCAGCTACTTAATGAAGAACAGTTTGCCACTGAAAATTACACTGATGGAGTTTTTCCATTGGATGTAACTAACAAGATCCTGGCTATTTGTTCATTTTAATGCTAGGTATCCCCATGCTGCCATTTGTCTTATTTTGATGCAAAATCTCATTTGCAGTTCCAGCCCTACTTCCATTAGTGACGTTGTGTATCTCTTTTCCCATAATTTCATTTTCCCCTTTGAAGTATCAATTGGCAGCTAGAGATTTAGACCCATGTAATGAGAGTAGTAGATTTCATGCATCTGCTCCCCATATTAGTCCCCCTCCATGCTATGTGAAGGATTCAGGGGATCTGCAATGGGCCTGGCTGAGGTAAAAGAGAAGGGTTCTCAAAATCAGGAGGAAACATCTGCTTTGGGCATTGTTTTTATTATGTTGTTATGTTGATTAATTTACTCCTTTAGAGGAGCCTTGTGGTGTAATGGTTACACTGCAGTACTGTGGTCAAGACTCTGCCCACAACCTGAGTTCAATCCTAATGGGCTCAGGTAGCCGGCTCAAGGTTGACTTGGCCTTCCAGTCTTCTGGGGTTGGTAAATTGAATACCTCGCTCCTGGGGGTGGGGATAATGTGTACAGTTCATAATTATATTAGAAAGAGAGTTCTTTAAGCACTCTGAGGTGGTGTAGAAGCAGCACACTTTGCTTTTATTATCCTTGGAACATTCATGGTTAAATACAGTGGGGTCTTGACTTACGAATGGCCCGAGTTAGGAACATTTTGACTTATGAACCGCTCTCATAGGAAAATATTGACTTGACTTAGATTTGAGTTACGAACTGAAAAAAACCATGTGAGAGGCAGGGAAAGTGCAAAATTTGAACTTTCAGTTAACTGTTGGCCAGTGAAAAGGGTGCCTGTCTGCTTCCTCCCTCCTCCCAGCATTTAGAGAGTGGATTGGGAGTCTTCAGACTGCCTGGTACTGCCTGGACTGTCTTTTCCCTGCCTTCCCTGAATCTTTCTTGACCTAAGAAAAAAAGAAACAAAATATCCCCCTCTAGTGGTCGAAGGCGGAATAGCAGCTTCCCATTAGTTTTTATGGACGGAAAAGAGCAGATACGGATCAGATGGTTTTCAATGCATTCCTATGGGAAATGCAGATTTGACCTGCGAACCTTTTGACTTGAGAACCGCCTTCCAATACGGATTAAGTTCTCAAGTCAAGACCCCACTGTATATTTGCAATGGATACAATTAGCTGCACAATATTATTTGCAGAGGTTGATCATGCAAGAATCTTTTTTAGTAGCATGTCTCTCCCCCTCTCCCATCTTTTCCAGCCTTCGACAAAAGAAAGGGAATCTTCCTCAGAGACACTGGATGGGACCTGCTCATTTAGTAAAATGCAAGCCGTGCCCTCCGACGCATTCCAGCCCCATCTGTGGCTCCGATGGGCATACTTACACAACCAAGGTAACTGCATGTAATACTAAAAACCCCTCTAAAGTACTGAAGAGGTGTCCATAAAAGTACCATAAGAAACTCAAGCCTAGAAATTTATCATTCCAGAGCAAGCTGTTTGATCAAATTATTGAGCTGAGGATTGTGAGGTAAAAGTTTTATTTTCCTAGTGATGCCCTTGCATATATTTTGAAATATGAAAATGTCAGTAGGTTCAAGAGAGTTCTGTCCTTTGGGTGTGTAGTATTTTGGGCTGCTTTTGTAGTCTCCGGTGCAGCCATTTTCAATGGGGGGGTACATGACCCCTGGAGAGCCCTGGCGCATTTGGAGGAGACCACAGACTGGAAACAGTTCTTCACACACCACATTACAAAGTCCGTTATGCAACTTACACAAACTGGATTCGGCCTGTATTTCTTTCTTATTGTGTTTATGGTCGTGGCCAAAAAAGAGAGGTTGAAAATGGTTGTTCTAGGACATTGTCAAAATGGAAAAGTAAAAGGGATCTACATTTTCCAAAATATTTCAAAACAGTGTAAAACTATCAAATTGAGTGCACAGTGGGTATAATGTTGCACTTATATTTAGAATGCTGAGAAATCACAAAAACCATTGATTGAAGGCACCTGTTGTGTGAACCTTTGGCATTATATTGCTCTCTATATCCTTTATGATATAGCAAAACGCATCAAAATGAATTATGTTACACTGCATTTCTGTCAGTCATTACCTGGTTGTTAGAAAGTAAAGGTCTTAGTAGGAAGTGTAACATTTGATTTTATTAGGAAAATATGATTCAGAAATAACGTAACTTGATTGACAACGTTAGTGTTGTTTAGGTCGCATAAAACAGTTCACCAAAGGAATAATTAAGACTCAAAAATGTTCCTCTCTAATAATAGATACCCTAGTGTATATTTTAGTACACCTAGATTGCTAATATCTTAGCTATTGATTTGGTAAAATTAAATTGCCTTTTAAGTCATGTTTAGTTCAGGCGCTGACATCTCACTTGTTAAATAGAGTTAACATTTCCATGACCTGTTCTTACAGTGTCCTGTGGTGGGCCATTAATTTGTTCACTCATTTTAATGTGTGACTTGCCCTATTCATGAGGGCTTTATTTGAGCACGTTCCTTTGTAAAAAACCAACCTGACCTCATGAAAAAATGGATGAAGAGTCAAAACTCTCAGTGCAAAAATTTCTAAACCAACCCCCCATTCGAAGCTCCTCAGTCTTTTCCTTTGGCCATCAGTGCCCCCAAAATGGAATCCCCCACACGCTGGATTAGAAGAACAACTAAAACACAAGCTTTGCATGTAGAAGATCACAGGATTATTCCATGGCATTGCCACTGAAAGGATCTCAGGTCTAAGAAAATAAAAGCTTTCTCTTACCCCTCACTACACAGACGAGGGGAGAGAGGAAGCAAAGGGTTTTATTTTTTTAAAGAAATAATCAAATGTAAGGCAGTGCTGATGCACTGTGCCACTTAGGGGAAGAAATTGAAAAATTGAAAAATTTCTCCCACTCTTTCATGAAGGAGAAGACAGGAGAGGATGAAGAGTGGTTTTTGATATTTTTTTTCTTTCCTTTTAAATGGAGGAAGGGCCAAATAGAGTTGTTTGGAATGCGGCATTGTTTCCTGCCCCCAAGCCACCCAATCTTTGCACGTGGATACAAGGACTGGCCCAAATGACATGCCACATCTCTAATTGACCCTATTTAGCACACTGAAAACCAATTCAGGCCATCAAGTCACACCATAACTCTTGATCTTTTCTCTATTTAATTATTTGTATTAGGAAACAAGGGTGTGGCTGTTTTCCCCATCCTAGACAGTTATACAAATACATGTGTAAATAATATTAATAATGGGTTTGTATGATGAATGGTCATGAATGTTTGCATATACATATATGTATTGGCTGAGTGCTAGTGTGTTGGCTGATCAATGGCAGAATGGTGAATCAACAGTTGACTGTTAATTGGTTGGCATAACTGGAATGTTTTTGGCAGTCATGTAATTAAAAGGGAGACAGTCTGTTTGGTGAGAAAGTGTGTAACTATATTGGAGAGTTGAACTGGAACATTCCAGTTTTGCTGAAGTTTTATTCATAGCCTGTATTACATCTGATATCACACTCAGTGCTTACACAGGGGCTGAACGTTGATTCGTTAAGTCATAATTCATATTCATTTCAATGTATGCAGCATTTCAGCGTACAGCCCCTTTTCTTTCCTTCTTTCCTCTGGTCCCACCTCTGCCTACCCTCTCTTCTCCCACCTCTCTGATCATTTTATGGTTTTGCATGAGAAAACTAGAGCCAGGAAAATGAGGGAAGGTAGTGATGATCCTGTTATGGACACAAACACATTTCAAGGAATATTAGGAAATATCTCACAAGGGAAACAGTCAGAACTTTAAAATGAACGTGCATGTGCACATAACACAACACATAAAGATTCCCTCTCCATTCCAAGTGTTTTGTATCTTTCAAAGAATATTTGATAGAACTCTAGGTGTCACTGAATGGGCCTTCCAGCTCTCCTCTCTCAGTTCATTTCAGGAATGTCATCTTTAAATGTATGTTTTGTGGCTGAACATAGGTATACAAAATAGGTACATTAAAAGCCTGGTTTTCCTAGTTGTTGTTCACGGCAGACAGCAGCTACATACAAGCTGTTCTGTGTCTGACAAGCTGCTGTGTCTGTCTGTATGTATGCTTTTGTGTTCCATAATGCTAGAAGACCATTTAAGTACATTTAACCTTGTATCTCATATTAACATTATAATTGTTATTTATCTTGAGTATATGTTAGAGAGAGATATTTAAAGAGTTGCTAAATTCTCTCCAATTTAGGCTGTAAGGGAAATGTAGGAAGAATTTTCAAGGTCCTCAAGATTCCTTGCCTCCAGGCAGGGGGAAGACAGAAATGCTATTTTTTCTCACTAAAATCTCCATAACTTGTGCAGACTGTGGTCAAAACCACAGAAACTTGTTCCCTTTCAGAAACAAGTCACACACATGGAGCAAGCAAGGAACAACAACTGATGGCTAAAAGAGACACAAAACGCTTCTGATCATTAAAAGTAAATGCAACAGAACAATAACCCTTACAATTTTGGCCAAGCTGTGTTATCTACATTGTTTTCATTTTGTTCTGTTTTGCTTAATTTGCATGAAAATGCAACACATTCTGAGGTTCATACCAGCTCCCGCCATTTTTTTTATTAGAGTCTTCATTATTATCAACAGGCAAGAACTCCATTTTTACTTTAACGGGTTTATTTGAAACAACAGATAATGGTTCTCTTTCTCCTTTAACAAAAGTCAAGTCCAATAGCTCCTCTTTAGCCTTCCATAAGTCCTTACATTATCTTTTTCTTTAACAACAGATTCACCCAAATAGCTAAATGTTAGCAATATGTCATTAATAACAGGAGTGGGGAGGTTAGACACAAGCTCGTAGGAACGTAAGGGTGAAACACATAGCCAACATTGGGTTCCCATACCTTCTTCCTGGTATCTTTTTGGACTTTAAGTGGGAATTGGATTACTGGAATTCAGACATCTTTTTGTCTCTTTGTTATGTTGGCTTCTCATTGAAACCTTTGCTTGCTTGCTTGTTTTGGTGCCTCCCTCTCCACCATCTCTCCCCAGTATGGAGGCTTAGGAAATTGTCTTTCCCTCAACTCTCTTTCAGCCATCTCCCTAGGTACTGTCAAAGGCCCCCTGTCCAGGGGCCTTCTTTTATAATCTCTATCCACTCTTCTTTTCCAGTATCCTTCTTCTCCTCAGCCCAGCAGTCATCTACCACACACATCAGTTCTTCTCCTCCCTTTTTATTTCCCTCATCCCCCACTCCCAAACAGCATCCCGAACTGGCTGTTCCTATCCCAGGTTTTCCACTTGCATTCTGTTTAAAAACGCACTTCCTGTTTTTGTTTTTGTTTTCTTTGTTTTTTGTCCATCTCATCTGTTAACAGTTCCTTTTCCTCTTGTGAAATGGATGGCCCACCCTCAGTCACTACTCCTTTTTTACACAAATACCTTGCCCTCTGACCAGGTGAGGAGAAAACAATGGGTAATACGGGGTTGGGTTGCCAGCACCAGTCTTGGCAACACCCCCAAAAATGTGTACTTGGTGTGAAAGAGAATCATTGTGATTTGCACCAAAAACCTTTGCACAGTAGTTGTTGTGGGTTTTTCGGGCTTCTTGGCCGTGTTCTGAAGGCGGTTTTTCCTTCAGAACATGGCCAAGAAGCCTGAAAAACCCACAACAACCATTAGATCCCGGCCGTGAAAGCCTTCGTGAATACTTTGCACAGTAGTTTGTGCAAAAAGAAAGAAACAAAGCCCTCTTTATACAATACAAGGGTTTTGTACAAAAACCCAAGGCAAACTCGCATGCAAAAAGGCAAGGTTTCTGTACAAAACCTAATTCTTTTTATCCAGAAGAAGAAATTGCTGTCTCTTTATAACTAGTGATCATATTATTTTCTCAGGGGGAAAAAAGCAATTTCATCCAGTGAGGAGAAATGTTTAAAAAATTTTATTCTTACTTAGTAGGCTAAAAGAACCAAATATTCCTATCTGAACTGTAGCTTAGTGGCACAGCACGTTCTCTGCATAGAATCACAGATTCAATCTGTAATATCTCCACCATGGGAAAAAATAGTATTAGGGCTGTGAAATATTTTCTTATTTTAGACATGTGTTCATTGCCCAAGTTCCCTGTCCCTGATTGCTTTTTTGTGTTTTCTTCCTCAGATAATTTTTTCATTCCCTTGTGATTATCTTTCTCTTCCATTCTATTCTTAGCCTCTTAGAATATGCTTAGATAAAACAAACTGGGATTGGCTCAAAAAATCTATATCTTCTTTTTTATTATTATTATCTAAACATTTAATTAATTTTTCAATATTATCTACATTCAATTCGTGCTTGTTAAACATCATGTTACATGGGTTGCTTATAATTATTTGGTTTTTTGCATCTTGGTGCCT